CTCTTTGTGTTGGCAGACTGGCGGCCTGTCCAGTGTGTACGCTGCCTTTCACCCTAAACCAGCTGGAATAAACTCCGCCCTCCTCCCTGTGGCCCTCCACAGGAGAAGGCGGTGCATAGATAAAGGATGGACGGATATTTGCAGAGAGAAACTGTGTAAAGTCGACACTCATCGGAGCTGAAGGACGGTTGGAACTGCGTAACCCCGAGACCTGGTCCCTGTTTTGTTCGTTTGGACCCTTTCACTGTTGCACCGCATGTCGGTCTGACCTCATTATCTGCATCCATCTCGTCTTTCTTTTTTTTAGCATGTTGTCAAACCACCTGATCCACTTCCACACACGCTAAACTGTAAACGCACATAGAAGAGAGAAGTCCCGTGTTCTACGATGGCACCATGTCTGTCAGGTCACCAGACTCTTTTACTGTTTCAGCTCCACCCTCAGTGATCTCAGTCCGTACATGTAGGCAGAATCAGATGTGTTGCCAGCAGCTGAGTCACTGTATTCACTGTGGGAAAATCAGCAACGTATGAAGCACCTTGATGAATCAGTTTATTCATATTAAGTGCGTTTTGGTCTCATACAGGAGGTTAAGTTCCTCTCCCGCCTCCCTGTCATGCTCAGATTCATCTTCAGGAATCCTCAAAATAGCTGAATGTAAACTACAAAGACTAGAATCATTTTTTAAAACAACTGGTATCGTTTCACCAATCAAACGCCAGCTTCTTCCAGCATCAGAGAGAAATCAAGCCACTGGATGAACATCTTTCTTCCTCTCTGGCGTTGTGTGTTCTGTGCCACAGATGGTGCATAACAATTCAACCTTTCCAGAAATACTTCACACGCACCCCCCAAATGAATCCCATTTCCTGCCGTAGCTGCTCGTATCCTCTCTCTGTTCTTTTAAAGTATATGCCACACGGTTTCATCCCCGGGTTTTCTCTCTCTTACATGATTACTTTAAGGTCAAATGAATATTGTCTGTGGGGCAGACCATTATTAGAGGAACTAAGGCTCATTCTACTTTTGCAATTTCTGAAAGTTCCTCAGGTTAAGCGTGTCAAATAGCAAGACGGAGGGAGGGCGCTAACGTTTGACTATTACTACTGAACATATGGTCCAGCTGAGGCCGACGGAAACGTGTTTGGTTCTGCGGGTATTTGGTGACAAACCAAAGACTGAAGAAATTAGAATTTTGACCTGACAGAGGCGCTGGATGTTAAAGGATCCATCCATCCATTTTCTATACACCGCTTAGTCCTCACTAGGGTCACGGGGGGGTTGGAGTCTATCCCAGCTGACTTAAGGTGAATGCAGGGGACACCCTGGACAGGTCACCAGTCTATCACAGGGCTACACTTAGAGACAGACAACCAAGCACACTCACATTCACACCTACGGACAATTTAGAATCACCAATTAACCTCAACATGTTTCTGGACTGTGTGGGAGGAAGTCGGAGAACCTGGAGAGAACCCACGCTGCATGGGGAGAACATGGAGACTCCACGCAGAAAGATTCCGGTGACGCGAACCGGTCACCTTCTTGCTGCGAGGCAACAGTGCTACCAACTGCGCCACCATGTTAAAGGATCACTTGTTAAATTCATCCTGAGCAGAAAATGAACGAACCAAATCAGGTAATGAGGCATTTTACTCAAAACTTTAAAGTTAAATGTCATATTGGTGCTAAAGGAAAGACATTTGGCTTCATTGGGAGGGACCAATAATGTTTGGTTTTTGCCAAATCCATCCACAATTTAACAAAAATATATTTGAGCCTGGATCAAGCTGATGGAACATGTCGCTCTCCGTGATAAAGAATCTGCACATTATCTGTTCTGAGAAAGTCTGACGAACTGAAAACAACTCTTAGATTCAAAGTGAAAGGTTAGTAATAATAGTAGACGTGCAAATGTGTGCATCCTGGAAAACTGCTGCTAGAACGTACCCACAGGATCTTTAATTAGTTCATTTTGGGCTTTAGAGTGCTGCTGATTGTTATTTGTTCTTTCCACCCTGTTCTTGGACAAATGATGTGGTTCCAAGGCAACCAACCAACCATCATAATTGTAAGAAGCCTTTCCTTTCCTTTCTCCGGATTCCTGCAAGCAATATTAACAGAACTCCAGCATCCCTTAATGCCGGCAGACCAAATCGATTTCCAACGAGGACGGAGAAGACAGAAGAAAAAAAAAAAAGAGCAGGCATGTATGGCAGTGAATACCAGACCTTTCATTCCAATTCAAGCTGCTCATTCGGAGGTTACACGCAAAGAATAAAAATATCTCCGAGCAGCGTACAGGCATTTAATGATAAAACGATTTAAACATTCAAACATGTACAGTATGTACAAGTACATCTAAACTACACTGATCCAGACATACAACAGCGCTCATTGTAACACCTATTTCACCTCTCCGACAAAATCCAGGTCAGCTGCCGTCGTCCCACTGGGAAATACGCTCTGCACCTGTGAAACACACACGTGAAAACACATTACAGAGCTAATAATAGGCAGGAAATTTAGCACAAAAAGCACGGTTAAAAAGAAGAAAAACAAAGAAGCGTGTAGAAGAACGGGGTTTGTGTCATGAATCCCTTTTAATTCCATTCAAAGATGCCCTTGAAGAAACTGTTAATGGGATATAAGAGACTAAAGCTGTCGATTGCTTTACATGCATACGGAAACACACACACACACACAGAAGCAGCACTCTGGAGAAACATGTTTTTGTGTGTCGGCCTCAGGCTGTTTGATATCCACTTATCATTTTATTACCAATTAAAACAACACAGCAATGATGGGTGGAAATTACTCTGATGGGCTCCGAGGCTCTGTGCGCTTATAATCAGCTGAATTTATGCACCTCACCCTTAGTTGCCTCAGTGAAATTCTACTTTTATTTTGAGATGAAGAGGGTAAAAAAAAAATCTTGATTGAGGAAGAATATTTACACAAGTTTAGCTTTGTTAGCCTCTTTGCTGCTGTAGCAACAACTAGCGAGATACGATCCGAGCCTCGAGCCTCTCTCGAACGTGATCAATTATGTCACACAAACTACAAAGAGGGAGACATTAAAGGGGTATTTTGAAGAGGCACTGTATGATGTACTTATCCATACTGCGTGTATTACATACAGTGGATCATGACACCAGTTTGGAGATGCACGGCTGTGGACAGGGTCAGCAACACAAACAAAATATATGTTGAAGTGCATGCTATATTTATAATATTTTCACTGCTTTGCAACTATTTCAGACAGGGAACTGAAGCTTTTATATTGCTCTTAAGAAGTCTCCAGACTCCATTGACAAAAACAGCAATTTTATGTTACAGAAAATAGTTGTTACTGACCTACTGCTGCCTCAATCAATCGGTTTATTTGTGTTCTTGTGCGACTGGCGGTTTAACACTTTGCTGTGGATCTAAGCTAACATATTAAACCACTAAAGTGACACAATAACAGACGACAAACTCTCTTTTTCTGTGTGGTAAAAAAATCACTGTTTTTGTCTATGGAGTCTGGTTCTGAAGAGAACTATATGAAAATGTCAGTTTGTGAGCCGTCAGACAGCGAGATAAAGCAGTGAAAATACTGATTTTATTTTAGTTAGATCTTTTATTCTGGTGGTTAAAACACATTTCGTTGCCGACCCCATCGATACCAGAACACCGCACAGCTTCTGTACTGATCCCCCTGTGCAGACCATCATTGGTAATACACTGAGCGGGGATAAGTACCTCATACAACCCCGTTTCAAATAAAATAAAAAAACAACAACTAATATATCTTTAAAAGGTTTTCAAAAAAGCAGGGTGTAAAAATGTCAGCTTAGCAACGCTGACCGCATTCATAGCAGATCATTCCACTATGAATGATCAATACCAGATTACACAGCAGACACTCGCTAAGACACACTCAAGTGGGCAAAACTGAACATCTGCCACCATCTCATTCCTCACGATCAATGTAAGTGGGATGTGTGTGTCTAAGCACCGCGGGCCTTTGTGGAGCTGACGTATATTGATTGCTCAGAGGTTCTTGATGGTGAGCACTGAGTGCCATTGATTTGGACTGAGAGGCATGTTTAAATGTGTAGGCAGGATCACATGGAGATTTAAGTGTTGTTTTCACATCATTCTTGGACACACTGGCTTAACATTTTACACTCGACCCCACAGTGATTACCAGTGAAACAGGTAATTCTAATTGCCTGGATACAGAGGGAGCAGGGGGGAGTGGTGGGAATAATTCTAAAGAGCAGTCGATTTTAAATTTAAACAAAAAAAGAGAGAAAAACAGCCTTTATGCTACTCAAACAAACACAAACATCATAAAGCCCCATTTAGTGATATTTTTATATTAAACCCTGAATCAAATCACTCTTTGTAATTTGAAGGGATTGCTTGAACGGCGAGGCTTAGGGGATAAAACACTGACCATGAACTGCGACGTCACAGTAATCTCTTTACTGTCATCTCTAATAAAACTGTAAAAATGTCCCAAAAAAAAATCAATTATAACCAAAAAAAAAAAGTGGGGCCAGTACTGAATCCTGTTTTAATAGCACTACAGCCCTTTGGAGAGGCAGATCCGTTTCACCATGAAGCCCAGAGCCTGGTGGTTTTTCTGCTTCAAAGCAGCTGCTGCTGGACATGCAGTACAATGCCAAGTTTTGAGGGGGGGGGGAGATATGAGAGGACAATCCAGTGCAAGTCAACTGTGGGCATCCTGCAGCAGCTGGACAAAAGCAATGTGTAGAGATTATAGGAAAGAGAGACGAGTGGTTTATCAACATTCAGCTATTTGCTTTTGACTCTCTGGACGGGAGTTCTTACTGCCTAAATCTAATGTCCTTAACATCAGATCGGCGGTAACTCTGTGGCTGAGCGGTTCGCTGCTGCTGCTGCTGCTACGCCGAGCAGGAAGGCCCACCGGATCACACTGGGCAGTCAGCTGTGCGAACGAGAACTCTGCCTTCGCCTAATCCGCACTTTCATCTACCCCCCGTCCCCGCCGGAGCCTCACCATGCTGGCAGATGTATCGGTTCCGTGTTTTACAGCGCTGGTCATTCCAGTTGAAGGCGCTTAATGCCTGCAGCTCCACACAGTTTCCAAACCTGGACAGAAGAGGGAGAAGCTGTGAGGGTTTGCACGAACTGTCAAAGCAAAAAGAATTTTTTGGAGCCAGTTTGCTGTTTCCATTTAGACAGCATAGGCTAAAGATTGTGATTTATATAACCTCAGTGAGACGTGCTGCCAGTAGGAAGAGATTCTGGAGGACAGCAGATTAGAATAGATGTAGATGTTGCGTAGATGAGGGCGACACAGAGAGAAACAGAGAGACATCTAGTGGTCATGGTGACGGTTGCATGTCAGCCAGTTTTTTTTCCTAGTTAGTGAAAAACTGTATTTCAAGATTAAAAACAAATGAGATCTTTCTTTCTGATTGCTCTGCAGCAACACGAAACTTTCACAACGAAGCTCATACAGAGAAATACATTCTCCTCCTTTCCGGTGATGTGTTTAGTCTGTTTGTTTGTTCAGGTCCACTGCCCCTCAGCTCTTTCTCTTTTTATGATGTACTCACCCGCAGTAGCTAATGTCTGCTCCTAAATGTGTCTCTTACCCGTGGTTGTCAGGCTGCCCGAAGGCAAAGCTGCTGAATGTAGGGATCTCTCCTGTGTCCCAGCGAAATGAGTCTTTCGGAGGCTTATAAGTCAAACCTGTGGGGCAAAAAAACAGTGCTGTTTTATCCGTGCACCATCTCCTCAACCTCCACCCAGCAGTAAATCTGCCTGAAAAACACAGCAACCCACACAAGTCTGGTAATGCCGTCCAGTGATAGAGAACATTGTGATATTTTTTTAGCATTAATTTGGATGACCAACAGCAATAACTGTACCTATCCAGAAGTTTCGTGTTTCAAAGTCGGTGTTCATGACCTCGTTGCTCGTCTCCAGCTGAGTGAGATAAAACGCCAGGATGTCCTGAACCTTCTGACTGTGGATTTGAGCTAGAGCGCCTCCTAGTTCCTGATGGTTCAATAAAGGAAAAGAGCCAACTTGGTATGTTATACAGTCCCATGTATGTCGTAGAGCAGGGGTGTCCAATCCTGGTCCTGGAGGGCCACAATCCTGCATGTCTTAGATGTTTCCCTCTTCCAACACACCTGATTCAATCGGTCAGCTCATCATCAAGCTCTGCAGAAGCCTGATAACGATCCTGATCATTTGAATCAGGTGTGTTAGAAGAGGGGAACATCTAAAACATGCAGGATTGTGGCCCTCAAGGACCAGGATTGCCCACCCCTGTCATACAGGTAGGGACCACACACACCTGTCTCTCACCTGACAGTGACTTTTGGCTCCGTAGTAGGATTCAGCTTCTGAAGACACCATGAAGCAGTTTCCATCTATCATCACATCACAGCTGTGAAAGGGAAACTGCACCTTATCTGTTGGGACAGAATGCACTGAAATTGAATGGCTCGGGTTCAAGAAACAGCTTTAACTAAAGTCTAATCTTTAATCTGTTGCCAATTCAGCCATAATAATATAAAGTTGTAAAACTGTGGCACTTCTATTTAATCCATCCATCCATCATCTATACTTAATCCTCACTGGGGTCATGGGGGGCTGGAGTCTATCCCAGCTGACTCA